CCGACCGTCCGAGCGGTAAACGAGCCGATCAGTAGTGAAGAGGATAAAAGTAAAGCAAAACAATGCAATGATTAATTGACCACACTAAAGGGCAGTATACCACCTCTTACTTTGAGTGACCTTTTTGAGAATCCACCTGTGAAAATTTGGGAAAAATGTCCTGATACCACCACATCAGATTATTAACCGTTCGGCCGGTTCATCTGTTCATTTTTACTTTATAAATGAGCTTAAAGTCCAGTGTTAGTACAGGAAGACATCGTGATGCTTGATGGAAACCTGTGATGTTTGGTAGTGAAGGTCACACTGGATAACACCCTTCTCACGTGTGTCCCGGGCCAGGAATCAAACACAGGTTATTTGTTATCGCCAGTATGTTCTGTAAGAAGCTTTACACAAAAATATAAAATAAAATAAAATAAAATAATATATTTCTATCTGAAGCAAAAAATAAATAGAAATAAAAATATCTACAGTAGCATGGAAAAGATAGTTAAGTTACCCATTGTAAGAAATTATTTTCTATGGATTTGAGAAAATGATTTAGGGTAAACGCCGCTAAACTACAATCACGGTACTGAATCTGTTATCAAATGACCTGTTCACAAAGTTATCCTTCAAATGCTTATATTTACAAAACCATAACACAATCTATAAAGATTAATCCCTCGAAATAGAACTATAGATATAATTATAGTTTCAGTCATGCACTTATTTTCCGAAGGTCAGAATCGTTTAAAACACAGCAAAAATCATCGGAAAAACAACATTTCAATCTAACCTAATCTAACCTAACCTAATGAATCACTAAACACATATATTTATTTTATAAATAGGTGACCTTATGATGTTAAGCGACTTCTTAAACGAAACACCAAATTTTACCACATACGAATTCATTTACATTAAGATGTAGCAATGAAAACATTTTCTCTTCTTTTATCCTCTTCATCACTGATCAGCTCGTTAGCCGCTTGGGCGGGCGGTCACGTCTCTGATACGCACTGTTGGCAAGTAGCTTACTAAGCAAGAACTGGCTCCTGAATATATCGTAACCTCCTTCATTGTTGGTCAAGTCTGATCTTGAAAGAGCTCACACTCGATGCCGTCACAACACTTTCTGGCAAATTGTTCCAAGAGTTCACAATTGTTTCTCCGAAAAAGTTTACCCTCACAGTTTTCTGGACTTGTGGCTTCTTCATCCTTGAGCTGTGATCCCTTGTTGGACGGGCGTCCGCCAGTTCTATGTTTGCATACATTTGACCGAGTAGTGTCCCTGAGATGTTTATACACTTCGATTAGGTCGCCCCTTGCCCCTAGTATATGCCAAGCAGTTGCAGGCGTTCTAATCTGTAGGTTCAGTAGAGCAGGCACCAGTTTGGTGCCCCCCCACCCCTTCGGACACTTTCAATCAATTGACAGTCCCTTATATATCTCGGGGACTGGAGTACTGTCACCCCAACAGTATTCCAGACGGGGAAGCACTTCACTATTGAAGATCTTGACGAACGACAGACCATCCAGATATCTAAACGACCTTCCTATAAAGCCTACTAGTTTTGTTGCCGGATTTACCTTCTTCTCACAATCGCCCGAGAGCTGAAGTTCATTATGGACATACACACCCAGGTCCTTTTCACATTCATTCTCAATTAATGCAGTCTTTTCGTCCTGTTGGAACATGTGATACACTTCCTTATTATTGGTGTGACCCAGGTGCATCCTTTTGCACTTCGTGACATTGAATTTTAGCAGCCATTTCCTCGACCACTCTTTAAGCTCTTTAAACCTTATTTGACTATTATATCTATTTAGCGTGATACATACATACATAATAATAAATAATGGAAGCCCCTCGAAAACGAGGATGACCGGTCCAAGGGCCTAGTCCAAGGGCCACCTAGGTGTGAATTTGTTTAAGGTAGAGAAGCTGTCGCCAACACAACAACCAACCACACCCTGAGTTAAAAAGCTGCATGACCCAGTGTCAAGGAATAGTCCGAGAAGACCGGACAACTCGCCAACTGCACTGGCTAACCATTACCCCGGAATACGATCCGCAAATCGATTAACATCCAGGTTCCCAATTACTGCTGGGTAGACAGAGGCAAATGGCGTAAAGAAACTTGCCCATAGTTCCACCCTGCCCGTACAGACAGACAGACAAACATACTGTGATGTACCCCCTTACTACCCACAACATCGAGGAAAAGAAAAGCTGACAAGGGAAATTGCAGAGTGAATAATACAGGGGTTAAAATACGTGGATGCAGCAAGGAGCACACACACAAGAATCACTGTTTGTGACAGACAAATTTAAGTTATGAGAGAAATAAAAAGATTATCATGTAAACTAAGTAATTTAATAACATTTATATTAAGTATTGAATAAGTTAGTTAATTAGGTACATTAAATAACACAAGTAAAACAAAATATGTAATTATCAAAACAAAAGTAACAACTAACCATTTATCAAAACACACCAGAAAATAACCGGATTATTCTTACTTTAAACATTAAATACACTTACTGTAAACAACAACACATAAACCTGATAGAACTGGCAGCTGGGGAAGTAGTCAAGGCTGCGATGACCAACCACAAGGAACCAGATGTTACCGCCGTAGTCCACTACCATCACAACACCACCAGCAGTAGTCCTTAATACAATTCGCCGTCCACACCCCGGGAGAAGAGGAACACCGTAGGACGCAGGCAAGAGACTCAGCTTACCAGGGAGACACACACTTGCCTCGATACCTCGGTCTCATAGTCAGATGGGAAACTAGTTCTGAAACGAGTAACTTCCTTAGGGTGTTTAGTCATCAGTTGAAATAAGCTTATAGGGGTTAATCTTCAGACGAACTAACTAATAAATTAACTAAAGGTCACCCCGACTTACAACCAGACTCCAAGACACCAGGGTTAAGAAAGATCTCTTAATATCATGACGCAACCTCCTCTGTCGTTCGTCACTATCAGCACCACACATCCTCCGCCAACCATCCTGTCCCCTAATGAGACTCAAGATATAGTAATTCTGAATTATTTCCCTTAACTTAAAATCAGTAGACCACATTATATATGCTGATACATTAGAGTATTATTGTAATTTAAACGCCATTTTATTTGACATTACAGTATTGTGATTTATATTAAGTTACACAAAGAAATGTTACTGGAATTATTTTTACTAGATTCAGAGATATTTATCACTAACCTAACCTAACCTAACCTAACTCCGCGGTCGTTCCTGATGTACGTTGGAGTATCAGTATGATGTCGACTCCATATTAAACTCCATCTTGGTGTCCTTGAGTGGTTCATGGAAAGTTTTGACTGAGCTGTATAGAAAACTCTCTCTCTCTCTCTCTCTCTCTCTCTCTCTCTCTCTCTCTCTCTCTCTCTCTCTCTCTTTATTTCTCTAGTTTTTAGTTTTTCTTTCTGTCTCTCTTTTTTTTCTCTATTTCTTTCTCACTTTCTCTCTGTATTTTTATATTTCCTCCACCACCACCACCTGCCTCTCACACCACCACCACCACCACCACCTGCCTCTCACACCACCACCACCACCACCACCACTGCCTGCCTCTCACCACCACCACCTGCCTCCTCACACCACCACCACCACCACTGCCTGCCTCTCACACCACCACCACCACCTCCTGCCTCTTACACCACCACCACCACCACCACCACCTGCCTCTCCACCACCACCACCACCACTGCCTGCCTCTCACCACCACCACCTGCCTCTCACACCACCACCACCACCACTGCCTGCCTCTCACACCACCACCACCACCACCTGCCTCTCACCACCACCACCACCATTACTTGCCTCTCACACCACCACCACCACCACCACCACTGCCTGCCTCTCACACCACCACCACCACCACTGCCTGCCTCTCACACCACCACACCACCACCTGCCTCTCACACCACCACCACCACCACCACCACTGCCTGCCTCTCACACCACCACCACCACCACTGCCTGCCTCTCACACCACCACCACCTGCCTCTCACACCTCCACTGTTCGTCACGTACAGTATATATGATAGAGACACAACACAAACAAGTGTACACCAACAGGCCGCACATGTTGGTCGTAAACCACAATAGTGAGGTAAACTGTTTAACATTCTTCCCATAGTATATATTTTTTTCAGTTCATATCGTTTTCGTCAGTTAGATTCCATGTTCGTTTGTTTACGTCTTTCTTTTTATCTCCCATGTCAGTTATTTACAGTATGAAGAGAGAGAAAACGACACAGCTTGAAATATTCTAACCTAACCTAACCTAATTATTGCCATGATAACTGAACTACGTTGTTAGCTGGCTGTGTGTGTGTGTGGCAGACAGCAGAAGCGGTATAAGGATAGTCTTAAGACAAACCTGAAAAAGTGCCAAATCGACCCCTTTACCTGGGAGACGATTACTCCACAGCGTAACGCCTAGAGGAGCACCATATGAGAAAGTATTAATACTTTTGAGTTAGCCCGACTGCATACCGAGGCAGAGAAGCGCCAGCGCCGGAAAGACGCTGCTGCCGCCCCTCCCCCACTAGATGTAGCCCTCCACACATGCAACATCTGTGGACGGCCCTGCCGGTCCCGTATCGGCCTGTCTAGTCACCCCAGAACTCACCAAAGAAGGTGACATCCTTAATAACTCATATCATTGTACCATAAGTGGATGATCGTCATACTCGATTTCGAGTGACAGCCAAGTAGTAGTAGTGATAGTAGTAGTAGTGTGTGTGTGTGTGTTGTTATTGTTTTCATTAATGACAAACTGTATCAAGTCAATCTCGCTGAAGTGTTATGCGATATTATCGAGTGTGTTGGGGAGCAGCCTGAGGGTGGTGGTGGTGGTGGGGGCGGGGTGTTCCCCTGTAGGAGGCCAGATAGTGACAAGGGGGGGGATGCCGGCGGGGATGGGGGGAGTTTGGCTTGGCACCACAAGTGACAACACACACCACACACAACACTTGGCTCAGACGCTCAGTTGACCTCCACTACTGCGTCTCATAACACGCCGTTGCTCCCTGCTCAAGTGTTCACCTTCCCTTGGGTTATTTGTGTGCGAGGGGAAGTATTTATAAAGACTTGGATGACAGTAAGCTGCTAGGGAGAGGCACTGACTCCTCATGTAAGTACAACATACATACAGGTTGTTGTGCAGAAACTGATAACTTTGAGACACTATGCGCTGCCTTACGAAGCCTATGAAGTGCATAAGGGAAGTTTATTTTGTGTAAATAAATAAAAAAAAAATCTGATATTTGTTTTGTGTTATTAATATCGACGACGGGGTGGTGTTGCAATTGGTTCAGTCTGTTTGTGTTATGGACTAATGTTGATCACCGAATTATCAGCGAGAATAATTGAGAGTAATTACGGTCTTGCTCACCCAAAGCTTATACCGTTTGGGCGTGACAACAAGTAATTATGGGTTATAATTATACAATGACAAGGTCACTGTTGAGGTGCAACACTGTCTGATGAACAATTCTCAGGACGTTGGTGTGTTGTTGTTCATGTTGTGTGTTGTTAGATTTTTGTGTTATAAACGGTATTGAAAGTTGTTGTATACCCGCAGGAGAGGTGACGTGTTGTAATATCTTGTTATGTCTTGTTACGAAACGAATTGACATTTGTTCAAGGTTGTTCTTCCACCCTTGTATATACACAGTTTATACTTAACCTTTAACTAGTGTTATCATTATCTCTATTAATATTGTAGTGATTATGAATTATTTCAAGAGTTATCCAAAAATCTGCTATTTTATTTATTTGTCTAATATCAAGGACGGGATAAAGTACGGGAGTGTCAGTGTTAATCCGACCCCATTTCACCTAACACATCAAGGTAAAGTTAATTGAAATTGTTAAGTATTGAAGTAGTTCTCACTTTAGGCATTGTAAGTGAAATGTGTCCAGCAGTGTTTGACAGAAAACCTAACTCACGCCAACAGTACTGCTGTATACGGATACTGTCCAGGGTACGGTGGAGGAAGGCCTGGGTACTGTCCCCGTAATACACGTGTCTAGTACCAGTCACCACGGTGTTGTAGGAAACTTCGTGTGTGTGTGTGTGTGTGTGTGGTTCTCCATACTCCTACGCTACATAAAATACTACATGTTTACCATACTACTAATACCCCACTGTACTACATATCTACAACAACTGTACCACTATATGTCTCGTTAAGTTAAAGTACCGTAATCTAAATGAGTCACCTTATCTCACAGGATCTAATCTCACTTAGCCTACGAGAACCAACTAAAGTAAGTGATTCAACCTGGGAAGTCCGGGAGTCCTTTCTTACAGCGAGTAGCCTAACACACTGACGCTCCGGATCCCCGAGTTAGATTTCAATGACAAGACAAAAGTCACAGAAAATTCGTAATATTATCTTAGAAAATACATATATTGTTTTGAATATCCTGAATAATTTTAATGGTTAATGGTTAAGACAAATATTCCAGCCGACATATATACAGTACCATGGTATAGTATTACTTGTACATACAGTATATATATATATATATATATATATATATATATATATATATATATATATATATATATATATATATATATATATATATATATATATCTTGATAAAATCACACGGGAAAAGGGAAACAACGGAGCACCTTAGCTTTCGCCTTTATTCAAGACATCTAAGCTAAGGTGCTCCGTTGCTTCCCTTTTCCCGTCTGATTTTGTCAAGATTTATCTTATCCACGTTTTCATTGTGGATCTACATGATATATATATATATATACACATATATATATATATATATATATATATATATATATATATATATATATATATATATATATATATATATATATATATATATATATATATATATATATATATGATATTATTACATTTTAAATAGCTAAATAAAGCAATTAAAAGGCTTTCCAATTAACTTTTGAACGTATAAATAATATCTTCTTAACACATGTACCATAACTACGACAGTGTCCAGTATAAAACACAGTGAAATTGCGGCGATTTTAAACTCGTTCTCTCTGAAATATCAGTGGCAGTGTAGTCGTCAATAATAGCCATTTTTTAATTCCTGTCCAATATTATGAGAACATAAAAAAGTGTTTATTGTTGATACGAAATATATACTCCCACCACGAGCATAGGTTTGGTTGGGGTGAATGGTGTTAAGTACTATTGGCAGTTTGGTGTTTTATTCCCTTAGGTAAGACAGATTTGGGTGAGATGAGGAGCCTGGTGGTGTCAGTGTGTGTCTAGGTTTGTCGTTATACTGCTAGACACTGACCACTGGATTTTTCAAGACACACATCTATTACAATTTGGTTTTGTGAGTGGCATGCTTGGTGTGTTGAAGTCCATAGTAACAGGTTATTTTTTTACCGCTATTGATAATTTCCACAGGAGAGAGCTCACATTTTGGTCCCAATGAATACACGTTGACACACTACGGTACCGACTATATCACACACAGTCTTCACAATATAAGAAATGTGCAGAGGAACAAAGTTATATACACAATGTGGTCTCACTTATGTCCTGATCAAGCAATGATGCCTGACACACTCACAGGTCACACTCAACTGACCTGCCTTAAATATAATCCTACCCTGGTTGTGTGTGGGTGACAGACGCCATCACTGGCTGGGTTGTGTGTGGGGTGACAGACGCCATCACTGGCTGGGTTGTGTGTGGGGTGACAGACGCCATCACTGGCTGGGTTGTGTGTGGGGTGACAGACGCCATCTCTGGCTGAGTTGTGTGTGGGGTGACAGACGCCATCACTGGCTGGGTTGTGTGTGGGGTGACAGACGCCATCTCTGGCTGGGTTGTGTGTGGGGTGACAGACGCCATCTCTGGCTGGGTTGTGTGTGGGGTGACAGACGCCATCACTGGCTGGGTTGTGTGTGGGGTGACAGACGCCATCTCTGGCTGGGTTGTGTGTGGGGTGACAGACGCCATCTCTGGCTGGGTTGTGTGTGGGGTGACAGACGCCATCACTGGCTGGGTTGTGTGTGGGTGACAGACGCCATCTCTGGCTGGGTGTGGGGGGTGACAGACGCCATCACTGGCTGGGTGTGTGGGGTGACAGACGCCATCACTGGCTGGGTTGTGTGTGGGGTGACAGACGCCATCACTGGCTGGGGGTGTGTGTGTGGAGTGACAGACGCCATCTCTGGCTGGGTTGTGTGTGGGGTGACAGACGCCATCACTGGCTGGGTTGTGTGTGGGGTGACAGACGCCATCTCTGGCTGGGTTTGTGTGTGGGGTGACAGACGCCATCTCTGGCTGGGTTGTGTGTGGGGTGACAGACGCCATCTCTGGCTGGGTTGTGTGTGGGGTGACAGACGCCATCACTGGCTGGGTTGTGTGTGGGGTGACAGACGCCATCTCTGGCTGGGTTGTGTGTGAGGTGACAGACGCCATCACTGGCTGGGTTGTGTGTGGGGTGACAGACGCCATCACTGGCTGGGTTGTGTGGGGTGACAGACGCCATCTCTGGCTGGGTTGTGTGGGGGTGACAGACGCCATCACTGGCTGGGTTGTGTGTGGGGTGACGCGCCATCTCTGGCTGGGTTGTGTGTGAGGTGACAGACGCCATCACTGGCTGGGTTGTGTGTGGGGTGACAGACGCCATCAGACGCCATCACTGGCTGGGTTGTGTGTGGGGTGACAGACGCCATCTCTGGCTGGGTTGTGTGTGGGGTGACAGACGCCATCACTGGCTGGGTTGTGTGTGGGGTGACAGACGCCATCTCTGGCTGGGTTGTGTGGGGGGTGACAGACGCCATCACTGGCTGGGTTGTGTAAGTCGGGAAGGACTACCAGCTGAGTGAGCAGGTGACGACGCACAGCACAGCGCTACATGCACAACAAGTGTCGTGTCTGTCCATATTTATCAAACACAAGAGGGCAGATGATGCTTGGCTCAGACACACGTACTGCCAGGAGGGATGATGGTGGGCATACCAGAACAGAAAAAAAAGCAAATTGTTGTTGTTTTGTAAGAAAATGCTGTTTGGTTCTTAAGCACTTGAAATCCAAGCGAAAATTTTTAACTACAAGCAATTTGATTTTGACAAGGGCTGAATTTGTGGAAAATCTCGCCCAAAATTCATTTGAAAATGCCAAATCAGGTTTTATGATCGTAAATGTGTTTCTTGTTGCTGTTTTAACTAATTACTTCACAATATAAATATTATTGATTTTTATATATTTTTATTTTCATTTTGGGGGGATTTTAATATATATATGTTATCCCTTCAGTATTATATTAGTGATGTGGTAAGGTGCGGTCAAGGTTTGTAGTTAGCATGATGCACAACAAAATATTACTTATTATCTCACTCATCACTTCACACTATAACGCACACCACACTAAATTTTCGTCTTAAATTTTATAACCTAAGTTTTAAAGCAGTTGAGTCTATTAATTTATCCAAAGTTCAGTCAAGTAAAACAAATATTGGTGCATTTTGGTCAGAGTTTTTTTTTTATTCCCACAAAAGACACACCCGGCCTCATGAGTCAGGGTTGAGAGCCAAAATATGTCGTGTACCTGGACTTGTGTAATTATTCTTGCTAACCCTAGTCTTCATGTACCTAGTCTCGCCTTCACCTAGTAACCTTAACCTTCACCAAGTAACCATTATTATTATTATTATTATTATTATTATTATTATTATTATTATGTTTTCTTCTACCATTACAGATACGTTTGAGTACACTGACCTATAACTCAGTGTGGTGTCATCCAATCCCCTCATAGTGTGGTGGTGTGGTGAGGATGGGCAAGCGAAGGTGGTGGGTGGTGGTGATGATGGTTGTTTTGCTGACAGGAACAACTTCGGCCTTATGGAAAGAATTTACAGACGCTCAAAAGCTTGGTAAGATGTGGCTGTTTTCTCGGTAGTGGTTGTTGTCAAAATCCTCCGTTTCGTTCGTTGTGTCATATTATCTAATGCAACATCGTAAAGATACTTTTAAGAGGAATTGTCATCGTACAAACCTTTATTAATTCAACACCAGGTTTAAAAGGAGCTTGTATACACTGTTTCCAGAGAGAGACACACTGAAGCTGTTGACCCCAATCCTCGGTGACGTGGACGCAGCCTTGGTAACCCTCATCGACCCTGGTAAGGTTGGGCTGGGTGTGGACAAGTTCATCAAAATTGTTGTTGATCAGGTGAGTGTGGTGTGGGTGATCTTGGTAACTTTTTTAATTAATTAAATAATTATGATTTTACACCAGGTTAATTTCAGCATAATTGTTTATTTTATCACTTTTATTGAATAAGTTACATAAATATACAGTAGTGTTATAATGTAAATCGTATCATAGTACTGTCTGAGGGTACGCCGTATGTTCGTCTGTACATTAGTTCCTGCTTTCAGATGTTCAACGTCTCACCTAATGATGTCGACTTTGTCTCTTCCTCCACTATGAGAGACAGGAAGTTGCTGGGGCTGTTTCAGCTGCTGTCACGACGCCTTGATCTGTTGGAAAATGGGGTGGGTATGGTAGGAGGGGGGGGGCAAGGGGTTGGTATGGTAGGAGGGGGAACAAGGGGTGGGTATGATAGGAGGGGGGGGGCAAGGGGTTGGTATGGTAGAAGGAGGTAATGAAAATTAATAAAAAATAATAGTGTTAAAAAAAATGAGATTTTCTTGTGATATAAATAGATTTCAGAGTGTAATGTAGGTGTTACAGATGGTTGTATTATCCATAACACGTCTTATGTTATTACAGGCTCATGGAATTATCAGTTCTTTAAGAGACGTGGGTAAAGAGAGAAGTGATTTAGTACGCTGGGAAATTGCTCTCGACACTATGGAGGAGTACATCCAACCCATCAACACCCTGTACAAGAGGTTCCTTCTCTACCAGAACATCAAGGAGAAGGCGAGTCCTGATATGGTGCAGTCGGTAACATTCCAGTCCGTCTACTTTCCATTGGGTTAGGTTAGGTTTGGTTTGGTTAGGTTTGGTTTGGTTTGGTTAGGTTTGGTTAGGTTAAGTTTGGTCAGATCAGGTCATCATTAACTGATACTAGACATTCTGGGAATATGTGACATTTTCAGAGTAGACATAATGGGTGTAGACAAAGTAAGCATAAACCGTGTAGTCAGCAGTAGTTAAATGACACCTTGGGATCTGAAGGTGTGTAGCTAACAGGGCAATTACTACTTTCTTAATGTATTTCGCGTTTGGAAATTATGTTTCATGTGTGAAGGTCCTGAGAGGTTTAAGAGGTAAACAATATTCTTAGGGTTTCAAGGAAGATGGTATCAGAAACTTGATCATTCTATAAAATTATTAAAGGGACAATACATAAACTTTATGCTTGAGGTTGATTAAAATTGACTTCAAACTCAGAAAAACTTCCCATATATGATAGATCAACTTTTAACGACAACCGTTTTATGTAGTTTAGCAATACTGTAAAATCACGTATAAATTATTTATGAAAATTTCGATTTATTGAAGTAAATTTCCAATAATGAAATGCATCCGTAGTCCTTTTCATACTACACGTCTCACGGTCTCCTTAAAACTATTTCAGACTTGTTATAAGTGATGTGCTTTTGTTCATGATCCCTTTATGATCTTTCTCGCCAGGTTGAGGACCACACGTTAAGGGACTTCGCAAACTCTGTATTGTCACACGATCACCACTGTGTTATGGCCTCTATGACTCACCTTCACTCCTTGGCAGCACCTGAGGGGGCACACGGATCCAATTCCCCTTTACTCGTACATTCACAGGTAGGATGGTTCCTTTGTTTTAACGATATAAATATATTACAGGTAGAATGTTTCTCTTCTTTTATGGCACACTGTATACATAATGATTTTCCTTAGATATTAGTCAATTTGGTTCATTTGTGGTTGTCTAGAATTACAGGAAATCATTAGTATTGACAGTAAAGAACAAAAATAAAGACCTGACAATAGGGAATTCTCCTTTACTTAATGTGAGCCATATTTTACGATTTAATAATAGATATTCAGTCAATTTGAACAAGGACAGCTGACAAAGCCATAAGCGTCTTGTTTCCAGTTGAGTCTTTATGCAAGGAACATCCGGTGTTTTTAAGGCCAGGCAGTCACCTACTCAAGTACTAACGCTGCTTAACACTGCTGATTGGACATGGAGGTGTGTTTCCAACGTGTTAGTCTGTTTTTATTGTGTTTTTTTTTTTTCCTCTTCCCTGTTTTGTTTCTCTATTATCGTCAGCGTTAGGTGTTGACATGTTTTTTCTACAGCAGCAGCCCGCAGAGCAGAATAACCCTAAAGATGTCTACGTGGTGTCTGGGACGGTCGCTCGCGAGATTTTTCCCAACAAAGCTGATGAATCACACACAAAGATCTCACACCCATCAAGTTTATTCTTCAAGCTACACCAGGCTCTTCAGGTGAATTATAGGAAACATTATCTTTCTTTCTTTACTTAATATTTGATGTACAGTTGCCAGCACTTATACCTTATACAGGGGCTGGAAGATTTTGTGAGATGTGGCATATCTGTGTTTGTTTACATCGTATTAAAACTCCCGGGATGTCCCTAGGGAACCTGACAATAGTAGCCAGACTAAGGATGCTTAATAAACATTCCACAGTGATGCCAGCCACTGTATCAGGTACAGTATACCTTTAAAGGAAATATTATCCTTCTCTCTATACTCAATGTCTGATGTACAGGTACTTTATTTATTAGAAACAGGTATTTTTTCTTAACTATGCATGGATTGTATGTTAGGATGGAGCCTTAAATATTTGCTTCAGATCCCCGTACTGTAATGCATTCTTTATACTGTTTCTAGGGACACGTGTCCGGTATTGATAACTGTATTTCAATCGTTGTTCTTGTTTTTCACGTACAGTTAGTGCATACCGTTATCCTTCAGAACAGGCAGTTAATACACAATCTTACCAAAAGCTGTATTTTAACCACTTGTGTCTAGCATTACACAAATCAAATATTAAAAGTGGCGTCCCGTAATGAAGGGATTAAGGAAAACTGGAATAATTGAAAAACATAATGACATATGTAACATTCTCTCTGACCTTACAGATGAGTGATAGGTGTTATGTACATCAGTCACCACAACAGATAATGCGAGGCCTCTACACGGTGCTGTCACTCACTCAAGCTCGGGGTTATGCGATGCTGGAATTTGCCAGGATGGTTCTGAGAGCATATAACGAAGGTATGTCTGAGCTGACACCATTAATGTTATTTATAGTGTTAGGTGATAGTGCAAGGGGAAAAAAAGCATTACAAGAGTTGAAATGGTGTAAAATTTTCGTTTCTTAATGGTGGACATTTATGGTCGTGTTATCAGTTTCAGCAGCTAAAGGCCATACCAAACAATGTCATTAATCTGTGACTCCTTTTGTAGAAAATCTGTGATGTTTCTCTTTCCTAACGTGCTAACTCCTTCACTATGGGGATGCCACTTTTTATAATTTATTTGGATAATGGCAGACGATTTTATTCAGCACTGAGGGGGCCACGTATACAAGGGGGTAAATATCTGATTTACTATATAGGTTAATAAACACCCAACTCACTCAAACCTTTCAGTAAATTTCATGAATTATTTCAGTGATATTTTGAATAGCAACTGATATACATTTCACCATTTAAGTGTGATGTTTTTTTTATTTGATTTTTATTAAACTGATGATCAAGTAAGTAGATAAGTTAATCTGTTCATTTTGCCGTTCTGAAGTGCGGCTCTCACCAGCACGCATTTGGCCATTCAATGCTTCCCACTTAGGGTAGGAGTCACTGTTTTAAACAAGGAGCAAGTGGACACTACACCAATACTCTGCTTTTGTATTAATCTAAGTAACTTTATGATGACTTAGATCATCCATTTCAACTTAAAACTTATATACCCATTTGACTCTACTGTAATACAAAAACAAGTTAAGTATTATGACTGAAATATTCTCTTATTTACCTTTACTGTATCGTACACTGTTACCAACATTACAGGTAACTTTACAGCGGAGCAACGAGTGTCAAAGGGTCTGTACCTGCAGTATTCAGAAGACATGTTGAGGGAGGCAAGGAAGCTGCAACTACGCGAGTCTCAGGACTTCCTTAGGTGTGACCCCCCAGAGCACCAGGAGGGCAAGACATATGTGCAGTTAACAGAGCTTTTACAGGCAAGAATACACACAAGCATGAAAACGGGAGTGTGGTGGCTGAGTGGATATAGTACTCAACTCCTGTCCAATAAGTTTTTGGTTCAATCTCAGTGTTACTCCCAGACCACCCTGCTGTAAATAGGTTCCTAACTTTATAGGTTGGGGAAATGAGGATAGTCAAGTGTAGTGTCAGCTTCATTGTCTCTTGGAACACTAAAAGGCTTCATATCTGTCCACATCATCTTGAATAACAACTCTTTTGTATACTGTACATGTGAGATGTGCTAGACCCTTTCTACGCTAAGCCACGCCCCTCTTCTATACTAATAGCTGATTGGTTCACAGAAAATTCCAACTAAATGTGTTCACAATTGGTAGGCAGACCTGTTATTATCTAAAATAATGTTAAATATATGAACTATTAAAATGCAAATTATTTCAGGGCATTAGCACTTCAGAGAGGATGTTAGAAAATTTTAAATATTTGTTATAAAAGGTCGATATAAATACGCTCTTATATACTGTAAATGCGCAGTCCCGGGGGGGGGGGTAGAACGCTCAGGGAACCAATCAGCTATTTGTAGCTAAAGACGAGGGGCGTGGCTTACTCATACTCATTCATACTCTACACAAATAATGAAGAAAGGCAGTTTGTTAGATAATGTGAGGGAGGGAAGGGCAGTGTTGAAGAGCTGAGGAGGGAGGGAGGGGGGACTTCATTCTTTATGTTAGGGTGTTTCCACAGATAGGGGGAACAGATGCCCTTTATCAATACAAGAGGATGCGGTAAAAGAATAATATAGTAATTTATATTTATTAACCTATTTTCAGATCTGAATAACTTACTATAAATATTTTTTAAAGGGTTATATAGAAAATGAAGTGGATATGAACGTTGATGGAACTTGTATAAAAACCTGTGAGTACTACCAGCACACCAAGAGCGAAGGCTGTCACTACCAGGAAACCAAGTTCTGTGGTAAACAACGCCAGTGTCTAGGCACCATCCATGACTGCCAATACAACGACGCAGATGCTTGGATTTGTCAGTCCCAGAAGCCTTACCGACGGTACGATTATATCAGATATGAGAACGGCCTACAGCTGGGAGGGAGCAACTCCTGTGCAGTGCCTTCACTCAAGGTGGACTCTTGGATTAGATGGTTTGTCCGCTGTGCATACTGCCTGTGTCTCTGTGACGATGGTAACTCCCCCACTACTGACCGCTACATCAGCCTCACCCCAGCCATCACTGACACTCGCAACAATATGGTGAGCACACGTGAGGGACCATCTGCTGCCTCTCTTTCAGTCTATCTTTCTATTGATCTGTCTGTCTATGTATATACAGATACTGTACAGTCGGGAACAAAAGTTCGCTCTCCGTGGTACAACTGAGTCACGGGAAAAAGTCTCCGAACTGATTTCCCCCGACTGTCATCTGGTGCGGGTGTGTTGTTTTGCCTCATTTGGGATCGATGCTGCTTCACACCCAAGCCTATACATGTTAGAGTTCTATAATGTTTGTTGTCTGATTTCACGTAATTTTTAGTTCTATAATGTCTATTTTACCGAGATTCATATGTTGTAGCCAATAAGTGTCTAATTCACCATACAACAGTACTGCAGGTAGTGTCTATAGTTCACCATATAACCAACACTGTATACTGCAGATAGTGACGGGTGTCCGCTTCACCAAACAGAGGAGAGTGATCCACCTTCAGGTTCAACAAGGTCAGGCACTTCCACAAGGACAAGTCAACGTCTCCACCATACACTGGGTTGATGTGGAACCTATCAATGTTTTCAGGTAATACTTCATCCATCCTGTACACAAGGGGTTATAGTGATTAAGAAAAATGTGTTTGGATTTAGTGAATAAGATGGGAGAGAGAGATTAGTACAGGTAAGATGCAGGTACGAATGAAGTGGTTGTATACACTGACTGCTGTTCAAAGAATATACTGGAATTCGTCAACAAGATCAAAACAATATCACTTGTAACCATTGTGACTATTTTTTTTATGAAAGTGAATTACATATTTTATACTTTTTTATTCATTTGATTCTAACTTAACTTCTTTATTGGCGCTGATTAATTTATTGTCAACAGATCTGGTTATGAAGAGGGTAATCACTACATGAAACTATCATACGAGAATCGAAGCGTAGACCTGGACCGTTTGACAGCACCTGTGGGCCATGTTGTCACTGGGGTCCGGCTCAGGATGCTGGGGTCCCATGTAAACCTGGAGGTGAGGAGAGTAAAGGTGCAGCTGTTTGAAGTTATTACATTAAGCTACTTTAAGAGAAGGATGATAACTGTGGTGTAAGGAAAGGTGATAACTGAGGTGTCTCATTATAAGGAAATGGTATCAAGTAGGCAGTGGTACCACGACTAAACTACATAGTAAAGGAACTACTACAGACAATGATACCAAATGACAAACAAGTATTCCTAGGATTAGGGAAATGTTTAGAGACAATTTCAATTTGATATTTTTATTTTTGCTTATTATTTTATATATAAAATCAGGAAACATTACATACGAATTTTTTTTTTAATCAGACATTTTTTTAGAAGATATTGGAATTATCTCATTGTGGATATCTCAATGATGTTTTGTCTTCATCATTATCATTATCTCTCACAGGTACAAATTACTCCTATCAGTTTTACATCAGGTGAGTTGAAGCCATACAAGAGCTACTGGATCAGCAATGACAACACACCAGTCAACACCAAGAACCCAAGGCAACAGTTCCTTACCTCCTCACCCGATGATCCAACTAAATTCCCATTTCCTTCTATCCAGGACTCGAAGCCAAACACATACATGCGTTTTGGCCCTACTGACAGGATAAAGGATGTGGCTCAGCTTACTGTGCCGTTCTTTGATGCCCAGGATGTGGCTCCTTCTCCCAGTACTTGGTTCTCAGGTGTGGAACTTTTTCACAAAGGTCAATATGGCTCTGGAGGATTCCTGGCACTTAAGGTCATCACCTACGACATGACTCCCTACATAGATGTCACATACCATGAGCCAATGACTGTAATTTTAGCCTAACTTAACCTAACCTAACCATTTTTGTTACCATACTATCGTCTTGGCCACTGATTTGCTTTTTAGCTGCTTGGGTGGTCAGTCACGTCTCTATTATGTGCTGTTGACAAATGCTGGGTCTGTACTGGCTCTAAATGTACCCAAACATGGTCTAGTGATGATCAGGTCTGTCCTCAACCCTTTGAGTACGATGTTTTAACTCTTTGAGGATGATGTTTTAACCCTTTGAGGACTACTGTACATGGAGAGGAAAGTTCATTATCTCAAAGTTCCGTTAGATGTGATACCCCCAACTAACGGAATCTACGGAAAGAGAAGTCCGCTATATGAAGGTTTCACTGTACAGTATATATTGAGCATGTGTGGCTTTATACACAGGTGGACAGTTCACCACCACTCAGTACAAGGGAGACGCCATACCTAGGCGTTGTGGTCATTTTAACATTTTCCTTCAGGGTAACAATTGTAAACTTGTATGTTCAAACATTTTTTCACTAGTCATATAACTGTAACACCTTAACTAGTTAATGTTATAATGGGAATGTAAACTTGTTGTGCAGTGTAAATAAATTACTTTGTTACGGACTTAGTGTTATCTTAATACTCTTAGTAAACCTTCCACTTTGTTATAATTTGGCCAGCAGGAAATTTGCTATTTTATTTACTTCACAGTTAACTCCAAAGGAATGCGGGTGGTTCTTGACTTATGGGAATTTGCATTAATTTTATAATGAGCTTTAACATATGTAAGAAATATTTGTATGACAGTAATGGAAAAATCTACTGATACATATATATTACAGTACTGCATATAGGGGTTTTAATTAACCATACATGTTTAATAATAAGACGTTGTAGCTATTTTGTGCGTCAGATGATAGAGGCAGGGTAATACCATCTGCACCAGCACTGTCACAGGGGCTCGTCATGTAAGTATTCCACAAATCATTCCATTGAGATATTTTTTTTAATATTGTTTTATTTTGAGTCCATATTATGTTTACTATTGCGTGTTTCCTTTCGTCGAATGTAAACAAACACAGGGCTGCCACACTGCACAAGACCTGACGAGCCCCTGCAAAAGCACTAGTGAAGGGGACTGTACATTTAAATTTCCCTGAGAGGCAACAGTGACAACAAAGGTGAAAATAATAGTAAAGGTTATCCCAGTCTTCTGTCAGTGCCTGTGGATATCGACAACTGAACTAAATCTTCTCCCTCTGGCTCCCATATTTCCCTGCCTGATGCCTTAGCAAGTTGTCAGATTCAGTCACTCTGGTAAGCACATTCTTGGTAAATTTAGGTTTGGTTAGGTTAGGTTAGCTCAGGTCAGGGTAAGATAGGTTGGGTTAACTTAGGTTAGGTTAGGTTAGGTTAGGTTAGGTTAGATTAAAGCATATAGTATTATGACTGGTATCCATTTGACTCATTATTTCTCTGACTAAGTTTTTCAATCTCAACTTTTCTCGTTCACAACATTATCTCCCCTTCCTTTGTCCTGGAAGCCAAGATGAAGGTCTCATATTTTAGAAAACAGATGAAAACGTCAAAGGAAATTGGATGAAAACTTAAGTGTCATGAAAGTCAAGAGAGAAATCCCATGTATTCCAGAGACGAGGGAAAAAAAAAATCTCCCACATCTGCATCTTAACTCTCCTCCTCCACCTCCACTTTTTCACCTTCGCTACCTCCACTCCTCCCCCACCTCTATCTCCCAGTCTTCATCTTTAATACCTCCTCTTCCTCATCTTCACCACCTCCTCCTTCTCCTCCTCATCTTAACCGCTTCCTTCTTCACCTCCTCCTCCCATCTTTCATCCTCTCAGTTTGTCATGTCAAAGCTTTAGGGAAATCACCTCTCAATCGGGCCCTTAGTGCTGTTGATAACCATATACCGTATAGCATTTATGAGAACCCTAATTCGTCCTTGGTAAGCCCTAATGGTCTCAGGTCTGTAAGAAGGTGTAGTATAAGTGCCTGAGACGCCTTGATTCAGGTCCAGGTTCACAGGCAGACCTATACTGATGACGTGGAAACAGAGAGAGAGAGAGAGGCTTTAGACGACCAGAACTATATCACCTATGGCATCATACGAGACGGGAGAGGTGAGGGGAAGGTGTCAGGTGTTAATTAGTGTCCTCTCACCTCTACACACACACACACACACACACACACACACACACACACACACACACACACACACACACACACACACACACAAAGAATGAAATGTCCAATTAACCTGAAATAGAGAGGGGGAGAGAACTATCATCTGCAAGGCAAATCAGCATCTCGTTAACATCTCCATAACCTTGTACCATATCCCATCTTACTGTACCTTCACACGACCCTGAAATAGTACCTCTGATGAACGGTAAGGTGTGTGAGTCAAGCTTCCACTCCTTGGTGCTTGTACTGTTATGAGATAATGTCACTAGGTAGATCGTTAAGAATAATACTGATTTGATAGCGTAATCTTTCAGGTCAAGTTAGGGATGATTAATGATAAAAGAACCTTGACTTGGTAGGTAGTTGGGATAAACATTAGTAATATGACTATAATCTTGTCGGAATAAAGGAAATATGCATATGTCCTGTATAATAATAATAATAATAATAATAATAATAATAATAATAATAATAATAATAATAATAATGATAATAATAATAATAATAATAATAATAATAATAATAATAGGAATATAGTTCAATAAGACGATAGACAATGCAGGTAGACTGTAGGAGTATTGTTTAGCTGTACTGTTTACCTGTGTGCCAAGACAGTACCGGTAAAAACAGAAAGGCATCTTGACCAAGAACGCTGAAAAATCTGTCAAGTGCTTATTTCCAGGAGGTTGATTTCAGGGCTCAGTTCAGGTTATTGAAGTACTCCTGTTAAAATACCGTTGTTAAAATACCGTTGTTAAAATGCCGTTGTTAAAATACTGTTGTTAAAATACCGCTGTTAAAATATCATTGTTGAAATACTGTTTGTCATAACCACCTTATCTATTACGTATCCACTTGATCTCTGTCATATCCACCTCGGGGTAATCTGGCGCGAAAATAAATATTCCTCGTGTGTGAGCTGAGAGTAAGGAGTGGCAGCTGGGAATTGCGTGTCATTGGTTGGTGGGCAGCTCAACCTCCTCTGACAGTTCCCATTACAGTCTGCTTACGTGACTGTCTGTGTGTGTGTGTGAGGATATATACAATCTTTATGACCTAAAATATTAATATCACTGGAACATTTTGTGTCTTACTGAGTCATCATGTGAGGGGAGAAACTACAGTCTTTAAAAAAAGATTTATTCATAAGCTCGGTGACGAAGTATAGTTTGAGAAGACCATCACACACACACACATCCTACCTGAGACTGTAGGTGATAAATCAAACTTCATTAACGATTAACAGGTATAATTATGTAGTTACCTGGTCCTTCATCTCATCTCCTACCTCAAGAGCTGTGAAGTAGGACCTTTAATTCCAATTCTCATCCCTGATTGGTTAAATGATCTTGGATAACTTTATGAGTTCCGGTACACACACACACACACACACACACACACACACACACACTAACACACTTGATCTTCTTACTATGGCAGAGGACAACTATGAAGATAAGGCATCAGACGTAAATAAACAGGTCAGTCTCTTATCCTCAAGAAAATGGGTGAAAATGGTACTAAAGACTCACTCACTTACAACCACTCCTAGTCTCCCACTCATACATACTAATACTACATACTACATACATCTATGATCTACATGTTAGATTCCTTTATGTATTCTAGCGAGGAGTAAAGATAAAATTAAAGAATTCTGAAGACAAACCGAAAGAACAGGTTGGGTTAGGTTTAGGAATCATTGAGTGGAAAACGAGACATAATTCTTTACAACTTCCTGGAAAAACAATATGAAAACGTGAGGATGGATCACGGAGGAAAAACGAGACACAATGTGGAAGGTAAAGGTGAGATGACAAGGTGAGAGGAGGGTCTGGGAGGAGGAGGAGTGGAAGGTTGGGGAGAAGGAGCGAGGAAGGATAAAAAGGAGGAAGAGGAGGTGAGGAAGAGTTATGATGACAGGATGCTCGGAGGGGAGGAGGCTTACGGTTACGCTTTACAAATTTATTGACAAAGCTTGGAGTACAGTTTGCCTATTCTGAGTGATTCAGTCAGGTCTTGACACTGAGGGTGGTATCACTGTTCACTGCCACACAGGGCAGAGGTTCATATACAGTAGAAGTAATTTTCTATTTGAAGACTAATCAGTGTGGGCCAGCAGCAAATTTTGGATAGACAGCAAGAATGTCCTCGAGCACTCCTGATTCAATGTAGTAATTACATAGTTCATGATACAATAAGCCAGGTGGCCTGAAGTCTTTGACAGTGTCATAATCAATAATATACTGTTCAAGTGTATGATTTAAAGGTTTATCATAAAGTTTACATGTTGAGTAGAGATCGAGGAGGAGGAGGAGGAGGAGGAGGAGGAGGAGGAGGAGGAGGAGGAGCGGTTTTCGCCTCCGTGAACTCGTCAATCTCAGCACGGTGTGAGAGCAGAGGCTTTTCTTTTATGGTGACCTGCAGCGGGGTGCGTTGTTCAGGGGAAGAGGCGAACGGACTTTAGTAGTTGTCTATACCTTCTTCTCTTGCTCTCTCCATCCCAGTTATCCCTCCATGCATCTCACTACTTCATCTCTCACTAACATCTTCCTTCCTTCCTTCCTTACTCCAAATACCCCCACTTAAGGCCCATCCATCTCTGCGTCATTTCTTGATCTTCATTGAAAATAGTTTACCATTTTCTGGATATTTTTTTTTTACCATTTCACTCATCTAATATTTAAGTTCTTTTAAAATCTTATATAAATCTTTCTCCAGCTTTTGTTTCTTACTGGTTTTTTTGCAGGTATACATTACATTTTCTACACACATAAGTAAATAGGTAGATAAAAAACTAACTAGCTAACGAACGAACGAGCGAACTAACTAACTAACTAAATAAATAAATAAATAAATAAACATCTTCCATCCCTTTCCCTCCAATATACATACACCACAGTTCATATATATATTATTTCGTAGTTATTCCTCGACCTCCTCACTCACGCACCAGAGAGAGAGAGAGAGAGAGAGAGAGAGAGAGAGAGAGAGAGAGAGACTGGACGTGGGTGTTGTCCTTGGCTGGCGCTGTGATGGTCCTGTGGGAAGGAGAACAGTTTATCTCCTGCCATTTAAGATAAACGACCAGGTTCCCTCACTCGTCTGCTCTGTAAACTGAACTGATGGCCATAAACTGACTCACCTAGACATTTACAATAATAATATTATACGAAAAATCGGACTGGTATTAATGAAATCCTTTAGATAATTCACAAAGTAGTTACCAGATCGCTATTGTAATCTGGGATACCACTTATGTACCTGTATAAGAGATAATAATTACATAATATAGAGACCGTTGACCATTAGAACAGTTCCTCTTAAAACAAGAACAAACCATCGACCAATAGAAGAGTGCCACTTAAAAGAACAACAAATCATCGACCAATAGACGAGCTCCTCTTAAAACAACACCAAATCCTCCACCAATAGAAGAGCTCAACTTAAAGGAACAATATATCCTCCACCAATAGAAGACCTCCACTCAAAACAACAACAACAAACCATCGACGGCAGAGTACAGGAACAGATCGTCGACTATGAAGATTGTCAAGCAATACACGTCTTCCACTATGCAGTCTAGACCCTTGACGCTGGGAAACTGCCGCGGCTGCTTTGCATGTATATTGTGGGTTGGAGGATCTTGTGGGCTTCTCTCTCGGTATTTTGGAGGAGGACCTTGTGATGACGTCCCCCTTTATTGATCGGAAGTAATAGAGTATTTTAAGTTTTTTTATTTTTAGAAGACTGTGTTTGATCCGTGATTCTCTTTGTTATGATTTTGTTCCTATGTTTTAAAGGGGGATAAATATGGGTAATTTTTCTTCTCTCACCTCTCTCTCTCTCTCTCGATCTTTTTTCCCTCTCTTTATCTCTCTTTTTCTCTCCTTCTCTCTCTTCTCCATCTCTATCCCATTCTCTCACTTACTCTCTTAGCCTGATACAAAACTATTCACGTCACTGTTTCACTTTCTCCTCTCCAGCACCCGGAAGCGACCACCAGCAGCGATTCACCTGACCAGGGATTTACGAGCGAGTTAATTAGCGTCGGCATCAAGGTAAACCAATCCACGAGAGCTTCCAGGTCAGGTTTCGGTCCGTGCAATGACATGCCTCTGTGTGGTATGTTGAGAGCAGTGACTGGTGAGCTTTGTTTTGTTTTGTCTGTTTTATTTAATTTACTTTATTTTCTGTTCTTTTTTCTTCTATTTTTATGTATCTTTTGATTTAATTTATCTCGGTAGACTTCATAGTATAGTCGCAAACTTTCTTTCTCTATTTTTTATATATTTTTAAATCTTTTTGTCTCTTTATTTTTCTCAGTGCAATTCTCTAGGGAGTGACACGAATATTAAGTAATTATTTCTGAAGGAGAGAAACATATAAAGAAGAGCGAGAGAGAGAGAGAGAGAGAGAGAGAGAGAGAGAGAGAGAGAGAGAGAATAAACGCCGCGAATAATGTCAACAAAACACCACCATCTTGATTTGATATTTGAAAACTTCCAATATGTCATTTATGCTAAAGACCGCCACATGTAATATTATTTGTTGATAATTGATGATACTTTTAATAATGATTTATTTACATTTTTATTGTGTAATTTTCAGGCTCTCGCTTTAGATGAAGGAATCTCTAGCGCTCCTGTGTGTGTATGTGTATGTGTGTCTTTGTGTGTGTGTGTGTGTGTGTGTGTGCGGGTGTGTGTGTGTGTGGGTGTGTGCTACAAGAAGTTATCGTATAATTGTGGCTCAAAACAAACGGCTGTATGATGGTGCACGAGTCAGGACCACCAAGAGGACTATGGAGGAATACGTCCCTTGAGACTGCCATCATAGACAAGCTTTTGGCCTTTATAAATGTTGTGTGTACGAGATAGCAAGACTGTCACTCCTCCCGAGGCTGTGGACCCCAGCCAGAGTGAACATCAACCCGTGTGGTGGCGGTGGTGGTGGTGGTCTGTACAGTAGTTTCAGTATTTACGTATTTTACATAATTTATAGAGATTACCAACGTGTTGTTTTGTCGCTGGTGCTACGAGTTATTTTTCACGGTAAATTAATCATCTAAAGAACAACTTTTTAATCCTAAACTATTTTAAGTGATGGTTGGGGGGGAGAGCGTTCAGCCTCAAACACTGGCTTGTCTTTGATCTATTTCTCTTTGTTTATGTAGACCGCTAAGTACTGTATTATGGCAAAACCCCCTAAAGTCTATATAGTTAGCCACTAAAAGAGTTCCGCTGGTGTGAAATTTTCTAATAATTGGCAATTTCTTATTACTGACGTCCATAATGTGGGGTTAACGCTCCTTGACGACCACCACACCTTTAAGCTGCAGGAACCTTAATGTAAGAAGACTTAATTTCTTTTATTTTACAAGTGAACATATATGATAACATAACAATGAATACAATAATGTTTACAGTAGCATAGTACAGCATAAGTCGGTCAAAAAATTATATATACAAAAATAATGTTAGACAATATGACACAACGTACGGAGGATTATGGGAACCGTACCGAGACAACAGGAGTCATAACGTTCATTCTGACTGTACATACTTATACTCTATTGCAAGAATTAGAGTTATAATTACTTTGTAGATTATTATAGACGTTTGTATTCATTTGTTTATTTCCTTCGTTGCCTTCTGTTGGGGCCGTCCTACAGGTCAGCCCCATCACTGTTTGTAAGACTCCCACACTTCCACAACTCTGTCCACAGGTTAAAGTTTTGATATTTTCTTGTTAATATTCAACATCATATTTCCTCTACATGGCTGAAGACCCTGGTATGTCCTTGGAGATATAAGTGTGTGTGTGTGTGTGTGTGTGTGTGTAGAGAGAGCTTACTTACAATACGTATCATTCTGGCACAGTAAAACCCCACTCATATATACAGTTTTTATTATAATATCATTACCATTTATTAACAATTGAGAATCTTATACAATTTTACTCGGAGAAGAGAAGCATCACATAGTGAGAACCAGAGAGACGAATTAACTAAACACTTGATCTGTGGTGTTGAGGACGACGTGCTGGAGGGTCAGACTGTGGTAGAGTAGGTCAGCCACCACACACAGGTCAGACTGTGGTAGAGTAGGTCACTAGGTCTGCCACCATACACAGATCAGACTGTCATAGAGTAGGTCAACCAACACAGTGGCAGGAAGCAATTACCACAGGTCTCGTCTCCACTGCCACTCAACCAGGGGAGACGACAGGTCTTTACAGGTCAAGTGGGACAGATGACAAAGTGTCAGCTGAGTGGCTGGTCAGAAGCAGTAACCAAAACATGAATGGTTTTTTTTGTTGTGCTGTTGTCACGAAGAAGAAGATTAGAAGATGAATAATAAGAGAAAGAAGAAGAAGAATATGAAGAATAACAGGAATAAAAAAAAGAAGAGGAACAAGAAGAAAATTATGTTTTTTCTGACCTAAGAACACTACCATAAACTCTTATTTATATACAAACACGATTAAGATGCATAGCTAAACTTCACAGTGTTAACCCACAGTATTGACCTATAGTGCTGACCCATAGTGTTGACCCATAGTGTTGACCCATAGTCCTGACCCATAGTCCTGACCCATAGTCCTGACCCATAGTCCTGACCCATAGTGTTGACCCATAATGTTGACCCATAGTGTTGACCCATAGTGCTGATCCATAGTCGTGACCCATAGTGCTGACCCATAGTCCTGACCCATAGTCCTGACCCATAGTCCTGACCCATAGCTTTGACCCATAGTGTTGACCCATAGTGTTGACCCATAGTGCTGATCCATAGTCGTGACCCATAGTGCTGACCCATAGTGCTGACCCACAGTCGTGACCCTCTACCTCACCTGGATGACCTTGGGGGCTCAGGGACAAAGTCAGGTGAGGGGTCCACGAGAGAGGGGGGGGGAGGTAGGAGGGCAAGCCACACCCATCCCCACACCACCTCACCTCCATCAACATTACTTAACATTTAAACATTCATTATATAGCACAAGAACATTACCTAATAAATAATTATATCTCTTACTCATAAATTCTCTATAATAAGATTGTACAAAATGAAGACAACATATAATGGAATTTTCTCTTAAAAAAATCATGATAGAATAAATTACCTATAATTAACATACACAATAGAGAATATATATTTTTGAATATACAGTATTATTCAATGACGTATAGTTAATGTATATATATATAAAATTAATATGTATATTTGTATGCATATACTGTATGTGTGTATATCAGCATAGTTTGTCTCTGTTGAATAGAAGTTTATGCAATAAGAAAGACGATAAAATAGATCTTTTGTGGGTTTAAACTGTAACATTATTAAAGTGGGAGTTACAGGTGGTTCGCTGTAGCCATGTGGCCATTACAGCGCTGTAGTAAGGTGGCCATTACAGCGAGAGGTGACTAGCAGGTTAATACAACAGAGAGAACCAAGCATCTGTCACTTATTCAAAGGTTCATCACTGTTGGCACTGTTTCCATGTGACTTGTTGTTGGTATTACTGTTCTCTTGTCCTTCAGGTGGCACTGTAGCTGCTGTTGTGACTCCTGGTGGCACTGTTCCTGTGTGTCAGAGGTGATGGTGGCACTGTTACTGTGTGTCAGAGGTGATGGTGGCACTGTTCCTGTGTGTCAGAGGTGATGGTGGCACTGTTCCTGTGTGTCAGAGGTGATGGTGGCACTGTTCCTGTGTGTCCTGGAGGTGATGGTGGCACTGTTCCTGTGTGTCAGAGGTGATGGTGGCACTGTTCCTGTGTGTCAGAGGTGATGGTGGCACTGTTCCTGTGTGTCAGAGGTGATGGTGGCACTGTTCCTGTGTGTCAGAGGTGATGGTGGCACTGTTCCTGTGTGTCAGAGGTGATGGTGGCACTCTTACAACCCATAATAACAACCAACAGGTTACGGTCCCTTTAACGTTTCTCTCAGGTCTCTCTATCTTCTTCACTGGTCACAAACCATCATCATCATCATCATCATCATCATCATCATCATCATCATCATCATCACTACACAAATTGATTTAATCCAACAAAATAATTAGAATAACTCTTATCGTTAACTGTGTAAATATTTATTTTATTTCATGATATATATATAAATGTGTTTATACATTTATTTACATACATATATTTATATGTATATATATTTCTAAAAAACAATAGTAAATCTGTATGAGTGTTTAGTACAGAAGTATTATAACCACAGCCGTCTACCTTATATACATATTTCTCATCACAATATACCTGGATTACTGCTAAGTTTGCATATATTATAAAAAGTGGAAAAAAAGAAGTCAGAAATTTGGAACAGATGAGGTTACAAATGTGGAACAGATGAGGTTACAAATGTGGAACAGATGAAGTTACAATGGTGGAACAGATGAAGTTACAAAGGTGGAACAGATGAGGTTACAAAGGTGGAACAGATGGGGTTACAAAGGTGGAACAGATGGGGTTACAAAGGTGGAACAGATGAGGTTGCAAAGGTGGAACAGATGGGGTTACAAAGGTGGAACAGATGAGGTTGCAAAGGTGGAACAGATGAGGTTATAAAGGTGGAACAGACGAGGTTACAAAGGTGGAACAGATGAGGTTACAAAGGTGGAACAGATGGGGTTACAAAGGTGGAACAGATGGGGTTACAAAGGTGGAACAGATGAGGTTGCAAAGGTGGAACAGATGGGGTTACAAAGGTGGAACAGATGAGGTTGCAAAGGTGGAACAGATGAGGTTATAAAGGTGGAACAGACGAGGTTACAAAGGTGGAACAGATGAGGTTACAAAGGTGGAACAGACGAGGTTAAAGAGGACTATTTACACACATTGTCCTTGAAACAGAATGTCCAAATTTTCATATAAGAAAACATTCAAAATCTGGCCATTATTTTTCGATGACTTAGGATTGTAATTTGGATTATCGTCTGTGAAAGCCATTTAGTGATGTACTTATCTTAGTTATTATATGTAAGATAAGATATTCAAAATAAGTTCATATTTACACACACACACACTTTTCTGTCTGTTGTTACTGAACGAGAGAGAGAGATATTTGAATTTAAAACTTTGAGTGTTGACCGTTAACTTTTCTTTCTTGATTCGTAACGGTTTTTCCCTCTAAAATCTATGAAGAATTTGTCCTTTTTTAATTGTTTCATTAATCCAATTTGTTATAATTCTTCCTTCTTCTTGGGGAACACTTGTAATATTTTGTAATTAATCCTTGTATTCCTGTGTCTGGCTTGTGTTTTGGAGTCCGTTGTTCTTGGAGTCCGTCGTTCTTGGAATCCATTGTTCTTGAAGTCCGTTCGTTTTCCAGTCCTCAACATCCTCCAACAGCAGCTAATAATATTACCCTCACATAAAAGTCTTTTCCCCTTTGACTTCAATTCTCTACACAGTTACCACATAATTAATCCTCTAAAATATATAATTGTGCCTCTAGTCTCATCACCCGGGTGGTGGTCTGAAAGTACCATGTTCAATCCTTCATTAGTGTCAACTGGAGAAATACGGACACAATCAAGACTGCCTGATAGCTATTGGATATTGGGTAAATATAGAGCGAAATACCTTGGATATCAGTCTGTCTGCTTCGTATGGCCTTAAGCTGGATTAATTAAGCGTGTAGATAATTTTGCTGAGGATACACTTGGAGGGAGGGGGGAGGGGGGGGTTAGGAGTACTTCAGCCAGTTGAAAGTTCCTATTTTACAGACAAAAACACCACTTTAAGATTTTATTAATCTCTTGAGTACGATGTCTTAATCTCTTGAGTACGATGTCTTAACCTCTCGAGTACGATGTCTTAACCTCTTGAGTACGATGTCTTAAACTCTTGAGTACGATTTCATAACCTTTCGAGTACGATGTCTTAACCTCTTGAGTACGATGTCTTAAACTCTTGAGTACGATGTCTTAAACCCTTGAGTACGATGTCATAACCTCCTGAGGATCACACATCCTTCAGTGTTTTAGATAGAGATGTTATCCTACTTGGTGGTTTGATGGGCAATGTATTTCCTAGTGATATTCTCGTGCAATCTTGATTAATTGTTGTCTGGATAATTGACACAGACTCTCTAGGGAAGTAATTATTCGTCTCCTTATAGTAGATTAATTGACTTGTTTGAGGATTGATAAATTAATTGACTTGCTTGAGGATTGATTGATTAGTTGATTGATTGACGCCACTGAATCTCTACTGAAGATTCATTAACCTTGAATACTGTTGTTTATCTCTTTCATTTGTTTTCATACAGATTTCCTTTATGATTAATGACCTTGAATGGTAATTGTCTTCTCATTGACGTCACAGCATCCCGAGGTGGTCAGTCATTCACTTCTGTGTTTTGTTGACATTTTGTAGAGGGCTGATGGAGGTTGCTGATTGGTCTAACTGTTGGAGATAGCTGATTGGTCTAACTGTTGGAGATAGCTGATTGGTCTAACCAGTACCTAGACGACTATTGAGGCTAACACGTGACACCACCAGAGGATTCCAGGTGGTATCACAAGACATTCACTTTAGAACACGCTTAAGGTTTTCGACTTAATATTCATCTATGGTGGGGCTTCCAGGTCTTGCCAGAACTCTAAAACAGCAAATACAGTGCCACAAGAGCATTATGATGGCTTCCAGTCACCTAGAACACGCTAGAGCCTACCCGTCTCCTAGAACACGGTATAAGAGGCTTCCATTCACCTAGAACACGGTATAAGAGGCTTCCAGGCACAAATAAAAACGACAAAAGTCTTTCCTAGGTGACGTCTCAACTCTCCTTCACTAAGAGAGGATGGAGTGAGGTTTACACGACGCTACAGGTGATCAGGCGACTCTTAGAGCTGGGTAGAAACTGTCTCCCCCGGCAGCCTCGGAGACAGGTTGACGGGCTGCGGGGGAGACAGAAGGAAGCGGAAGGTGACGCGGAATTGATGAGACATAATGTAGTAGAGGAGGAAGTTGACGGCGCCGTTGATGAGAGCTAGTAAATCCATCACTTCCCCCCAGTGTAAGTAACATTGTCTGTAAGGAAGAAAACAAAGGTACCACGTTATACCAGGATATGTCTCTTCACCCTTTCTCTCTCTCTCTGTGTTTCTCTTTCTCTATCTCCCCCCTATCTTTCTCTCATATTTATCTCTCTTCCCGATCTATATATCTTTTTCTCTGTCTCTCTCTCTTTCTTTCCTCCCATATCTCTCTCTGTCTTCTCTTTGTCTATCTCCTTATCTCTCTCTCTCTCTCTCTCTCTCTCTCTCTCTCTCTATCTATCTATACCTGTCTCTCTATCTCTCCCGACTCTCCCCCAACACTCACCTGAAGAAGGAGTGACCGTAGACGCCTGAGAGGAAGGCGAGGATGCCCTGGGGTAACTCGGTAGCCAGGAAGAGTAACAACACCGTCAATAACATTCTCGTCGTCTTCTCCGTCATTTTCTCCATACGGGGCAGCTTCCTCTCTGTCTCCATGGAGGGCGTTCCCATCTTGATCAGGTTCTCCTAGTGGTTTGGGGAGGGAGAGAGAAGGAGACCGTGAGAGAGAGAGAGAGACAGGGGGGGGGGAGGAGGACTTACGAAATGGTTTAATGACAAGATAATAAACATCTTTGAGAGGAAAGGGTGAGAGGTGAAGGAGTGAGTGGAGGGGAGGTGAGGTGAGGAGGGGGTAAGGGGAGGAAAGGGGAAAGGGGATAATAACGAACACCTTTAAGAAGGAAAGGATGGAAATGGAAAATATATATCACCTGTATTTCTTTTTTTTACCTGTAGCAAAGGTGGGGAGGTAAAGTGAAGTTGATTACATGTTTCTTCTTTCGTTTTCCTTGTAATTAACACAATATCTCTCTCTCTCCCCTTATCCCTCACCACTTTACCTGGAGCCAAGGACAGGTAACTAAGGTGAATTTACTCCTAATCAATTAATTCGAGCAGAAAGGCTCCAATTAGAGACTCATTTTACCTGTGTTATTACTTCCTCTAATTACACCTCCCTCCTCCCAGCCTCCTGATGTCTAATCTCAAGGTGAAGAGGAGGAAAGGAGAATGAGAAGAGGAAGAGGAGGAAGGGGCTGTAATAAGATGTTTGTTTTTGTTTTTACTTTTTGTTTCCAGTATTCCCAGACTTCTAAAGGTTACTATGGTTTGTGTACATCCTGGGAAAAAAAAAACATGCTTATATTTTTTCCCAGTATACTCAGACTTCTAAAGGTTACTATGGTTTGTGTACATCCTGGAGAAAAAAAAACATGCTTATATTTTTTCCCAGTATACTCAGACTTCTAAAGGTTACTATGGTTTGTGTACATCCTGGAGAAAAACATGCTTATATAATTCGTAGATATATAGCACTGTTGGGTCTGACACGTGGACCTGCTTCAAATACTTGAGTTATTATGCTGCCTTAACCTACGTCATTGAGTGAAATTAATAGATTTTTTTCTCTGTCTATGTGTCTGTCTGCCTGTCTGTCTGTCTGTTTGTCGCCATATTGTCTGTATGTCTGTCTGTCTATTGCCATGCCATATTGTCTGTCTATCTGTCTATTGTCATGCCATATTATCTGACTATTGCCATGACATATTATCTGTCTATCTGTTGCCATGCCTTATTATCATCTGTCTGTCTATTGCCATGCCATATTGTCTGTCTATCTGTCTATTGTCATGCCATATTATCTGACTATTGCCATGACATATTATCTGTCTATCTGTCTGGTAGTCGATTTTTTTGTCAATACGTTTCTCTCTCTCTCTCTCTCTCTCTCTCTCTCTCTCTCTCTCTCTCTCTCTCTCTCTCTCTCTCTCTCTCTCTCTCTCTCTCTCTCTCTCTCTCTCTGTATCAATATCATTCTCCTTGAAGTAAGTTACAGTTGGAAGTGAAGCCTGGTGGACCTTTGTTGACTCTGGTGGGAGACCTTGTGAGTCTAACGACCCAATCATCTTCTATTCAGTTATCGACAAGAGTAAATAAATGGGTTTTTTTTTTGGGGGGGGGAGGGGCTCTTGACTCTACTTTACCTACTGTACTGTATAGTGGGGAGGGAGCTGTCTGTCTGTCTGTCTCTTTTTCTGTCTGTCTGTCTGTCTGTCTGTCTGTCTTTCTGTCTGTCTGTTCGTCTGTCTGTTTGTTCGTCTGCCTTTCTGTCTGTCTGTCTTTCTGTCTTTCTGTCTGTCTGTATGTCTGCCTGTCTTTCTGTCTGTCTGTATGTCTGCCTGTCTTTCTGTCTGTCTGCCTGTCTGTATGTCTGCCTGTCTTTCCGTCTGCCTTTCGGTCTGTTTGTCTGTCTGTCTGTCTATCATCCAATTAAAAATATGTAAACATTAAAAAAAAATAATTACAAACGCAAAGATCTATTTTAATATAATAATTGTCCTTTTTTACTTTTAACAATTTACAATTTATATAAAAAACTCATTCCTGAATATATGTATTTTAGGTAAGGGATCAATATCACACGTAAATTGGGTTCGTGGAAATATGTTTTATCCATCAGTGAGAAATTGTGTAGTCTCAAAGCCATGGCAGACGTGTCCCTGAAGGTAGAAGGTCACTCGCAATGGTGCAGGAAAGAGAGAGAGGAGGGAGGTATTGATTTTTTTGAGGGGAAGGATTTTAGCAATTTCAGTTTTTTCATCCCACTGAGAGAGACAGACGGGGGTGAGAGGGATATTTGAAAGAAAGAAAGAAAGAAAGAAAGAAAGAAACTATAACATCCACACTCAAAGTATCCAATATTCCACACACACTCCCGAAGAACTTAGAATAAATACAGTCCTACATACGATTTAGATAATATTATTTTGAAAACCCTGTATTTGAATAGGTAAATGGTGGCAGATTGGTAAAAAAAGAAAACACTCGCTTCCTCATCTATAAGGACACTGGTTCGAATCACGAGACTATTACGTAACACATTATCAAGTAGAGGACTGAATTACTCTGTTAAAAAAAAAAATAATAAGATTTTTATATATATTTAACCGTGTGTGAAAAATTTAACACAAAAACCTTACTATCGTTAACAAGTATATGAAATAAAAATGTTATAAAATTGTATATATAAACAGATTTATCTAAATTCGAGTTAATATAAATTCTATTAAGTTTATCCATATTCCATTAAAATCTTGCGTGCTAAAGGGTTATAAGTAAGGTTTGCCCTGACCAATGTTAAGCTTGGTGTTAAAGTTATTACTTGTGTTATGAGAGTGTAGCGTGGGAGGGTGACCTTGGTGAGAGA